CCATCAAAATCAGATTTGTGCTCTGCTTCCTTGGGTACTTCTGTTCTCTGGCCTTTTCCTTGTTGCGTGAAATGAGCCTGCATATTGTTTAGCTTACTTAGATATACCTTATTTGTATTTATCGTTCACAGATTACTACAGATTGTATAGTGAGGATTGATGAGGAGCCAGACCTTTTTTCTGTCTTTTAACTTTCAGTTTAGTTGTGCATCTTATTACCTTTTTTACTTTATTTTAGTTTATTTTCAGTCAACATTTGCAACACCTGATCTCCTGTCCTGTTTCTCTAATTTTTTCTTGTTTAATCTAATGGACTGCTACTCATATTGTTGTTTTATCTTCTACCTATTGCCCACTTGAGAACGCTTCAGTACAAATATGAAATATGTTTCAGTAGGAACACTCGGTCCTGATCTCATACCTGTTCTCTATTTTTTTTTTGGTGCCTCCAGAATAAACAGCTGTAGACACTCACAACAGTCTTATTCCGTGATCCAGTTCACTTATCTTTCTTAGTTAAGTAAACATCTTCAAGTATTTGCTCTGCATGAGATAGAAAATATTTCCTCCTTTCCTGTTCACTTCTATCAATTTACATAGGAAAATAAAATACTCCTTGCATGTAGCTGTATGCTACAAATTAATGTTTTTTGGTCAAATATAATTTTCTTGAGTAGTCTATCTAGTTTTGCCTTTTTACGATGCATGATCTTTTATCTACTCAACAGAGTACTCCGTGTGGTTTGACAAATGAATTTTTAAAGTAAGAATAAACTTAGGTATAAGTATTTGTGGATTGAACTCAGGAAACAATGTGGTTCGAAAATATAATTTTTACGGCTAAGAATACATATGGCCATAAGTATATGTGCATCCAAGAAAAGAAACAGTATTTGTTATTCAAACAATGAAATTTTGTGGTTAGAAATAAAGTTGGTCACAAGGGCTTGTGGATGCCCAATAAGCTATTTCCCAAGCCACCAAAAACAGCCTTGGCGCCTCCCTTTCGTTCGTTTCCACCGCCCCTCCTTTCTTCTTCCTTTTTATGTTAGTTTTTTCCCTCAACTTTTCGGTCATGGGACAGGGGGGAAGAGGGTGGTTCCTCCTTTTTCTCGCCTGGCAGAGGCAGTTCATTTCTCATGGTGGCTGTAGTCTAGCTCCTCCGTGGGTTCACCGTGTATTTGGCAGTGGCGGTGCTGGCTTCCATCCTGCTCCAATCATCCATTCAACTCCTCCTGTGACTTATCGGCCTGTTTGGTCTATTCGACGGCTGCGACACAGTCCCTTATCCGTTTAGCTCCCCAGCAGCTTTTCACGACTCTTTTTTGCTAAGTACTTTCTAAACAATAAAAGTCTGCTATCTTAAGCACAAAATGTTTTTATCATCCTTTATGTGTATTAATTTTTCATAACATGTAGTATAGGTTCTATGTTCATTTATTCTTTCATAAACCTCTATTGTCCTATCCACAAGTTCTGTTATTTGACCCACAAATATATTTTCTGGTGCCCTTTAATCAACTGAAGCCCTCTTGCATATACCCCTTTATCCCAACATACAGATAATTCTTCCCCCCACAATAAATTGTAGTTCCTTCTCATCAATATAGATCAACTCTTCAAGAGTCTTTATGATGAAACATGTTATATACAATAAAATTGTATTTTTCAAACCAAAAAATGTTTCTTTATCATGCATCTCTTTATCCCTACATATAAATAATATTGAGTGAGTGCAGGAGACCTTGGCATCAGCAGCGATGTTTCGTTGTCTCGTGATGCATTATGAGATCTCTCACTGAGGAATCCAAAGATTTTCCACAGGGCTATGCTGTATGGTGCAACCGCGCAATAGCAGGGTACCAGGACTGGCGACATTCCATTCTGGACTACGACACCCAAAGGAATCTACATTGTTGTTGGAGTAATATACAGGTATATTGCTTTTCACTTGTATTTCACTAGCCGAGGTTGCTGGTTTTTTTTTTTTTGTACATATGGAATGAAATTGTAGCATGTGCATGGTCAGATACGATCTGAAATCTAGGCGTGCTGATTTTGATGGGTTTTCAGTTCAACTAGAACAGATTAGAATATAACAATTTCAGTATAGTATTGTTTCCCTGTTCCTAAACATGGCTCATTTAGAACTGAATTTATATACAATAGGATAGATGTATACACTATACAATCTGATCAAAATTATTCGGTTCTCTGACTGATAATATCTCTGCAGCTGTCTCAAATAACCATGTTGTGTATAGGAACAACTAAGAACTAATTATTCTTCAATACAGCTAGCTAAAACATTGTTGATAAGTTAGCAGCCACCGCACAGGTTCTAAGCTAGAGGACCATCATCTGCGCGGAAGTGTTTTAGGAGTTCTGACAATAACCTCACGTGGCCTTTGAGATAAGGTACTAGTATTGATGTATATATCCAGATCTATTTGCAGTCACAAGCATCATTTTTTGTGCATAAGAAACTAACTTGACACTGGACACCCATCAAATTCTACTCTGTGTCTGTGGTCATGGATGCTTTTGTTTGATCTTAGCTTTCTTTTCTCACAAATTTTGTTGACAACCAAATGCTTAGTCCTCCAACGAAGCAAAAGATTACGCGTGTGCTCTTCCCTTGACTCATGTGTATTCAATAGTTTTTCTTTTGCATGTGATATTGATTTACTAGTATATTTATATGAACTGATGAAGTTTGGTGAAATGAAGATAATGTCAGAGATTTTCCCTAGTGGTTATGCCAGAGTGCATGCCAACACTGTGTATTTGGCATGCCATATTTTTAGAGCACAAACTACATTTACAACTTCTTACAATTTCACCAAATGCATTGCTTCTCTTATTAATCTACTCTTTTTTAGTCCGTTAGCAATTTATTTGAAAATGGGCACTTTTTTCCTAGTACTCTGGTTTTCCGCTTGATAGTAGGTACATCGCAGGTATACAAGATCGTTCCCATTGCACAGCATTTTTTTATTATAAATTTGAAACAAAAATAATAGAAAAGAAGAAACGAGTATATAGAAATCCTAGAAACTTGTTGTTTTGTTGGAACATCCCTGCTGACAGTTTTGGGCCCTGAAAGTTTTTTTTTATTTTTTTTTTAAAAAGTACTTTGCCGAGTGCCCCTGCCCAGGCACTCGGCAAATTATTTTTTTTAAAAAAAATCAGAAATTCTTTGCCGAGTGCCTAAACAGGGGCACTCGGCAAAGAAATTTTAAAAAAAAAAATAAAAAAAAAACTTTGGCAAGTGCCTGGGCAGAGGCACTCGGCAAAGTAATTTTTAAAAAATATAAAAAAAAACTTTGCCGAGTGCCTGGGCAGGGGCACTCGGCAAAGTACTTTTTTAAAAAAAATAAAAAAACTTTGCCGAGTGCCTGGGCTGGGGCACTCGCCAATGTAATTTTTTAAAAAAAAATTGCCGAGTGCTGGGTCGGGCACTCGACAAAATAACCGTTAACGGCCGGCATCACAACGGCCGAAAATATTTTGCCGAGTGCCACCCCAAGCTCTCGGTAATTTTTTTTTTTTTTTTGCCTAGTGTCCCGATAAAAAACACTCGGCAAAGACCCTTTGCCGAGAAAATTTTTGCCGAGCGGACTTTGCCGAGTGCTACACTCGGCAAAAGCTTTGCCGAGTGCAAAGGGCTCTTTGCCGAGTGTAAAAACACTCGGCAAAGCCGCGGCCTCCAGTAGTGCTACCTCCACCAGATAAGATGCATTCACGAAGTAGAAAAGCAGAAAAGGAGCCTCACGTGGCTCCAAGACTCGACTGCCAAGAAAGAACAACAATAAACAAAGATCTGCAGAAAAAAAAGAACCAAAGAGAAACCAGATCAAACAGAAAGACACGATGAGGACAAAGGGGAAGGCCAAACCAAAGGCTAAATCACAGGAAAAGGAAGAAGATGAGCATCAGAAAACTCAGTGAGTTACTACATCCAACAAACTAAATTCAATTCCCTTACCAGAATGCATAAAACTCAGTGAGTTACTCTGCCAACCAATTTCTATTTTCTGAGCTAAATCCGTTAATTTCTTCTATGCAACACCTGAGATCGATGTTCATCAAATTAAAATACAAAACAAAAGAGAATCACGTGATCATAAATCTAAATCATAAAATCAATATGCAAGCTAACAAAGTTTTATTACTGATACATAGGCATGAAGAATAAGCAATCCTCAAGCAAGATGATGCACCAAGAGAGCATTCTAAAAGAAAAATAAAAAGAAACTCTACTTCCTTTCTTTCTTGCTTTCTACTACCACATTTACTTGCATTCTTGATTGCTAACCTAATGTGTTGGTGCTGAAACTAGACAACACCAACAACTTCAAAAATGACGCTCTTAAAACAACAATTTCTTTTAAAAAAAAGTTCAGTACCATATTTAAGATTTCATAGTAAAATAACATAAGCTGTACTTCTGAAACATCACAATATGACATCAATGTAGACAAACCCAAAGCCTATAATTCACAGGTATGGGAAAATATAAACACTGCAGTAGTGTAAAAAAGGTACCCATCATATAAGCTGTAAAAATTCAGCAAAGTTATACTACTAGGATTGTGATAAAAACTTTTGCAGAGACACACGAAAAAGGATGGGCTATTTGAGACAAATTGCATTTACAAATCAGAAGAGTATTAGTGTGAAATAGGTACATCAAGATACAAAAATTAAACCTGAAACACATGTACTTCATTTTTTGCATTTAGGGAGTTTATAACAGAATATCATTGATGTGACTATCAAATCAGAAGAGTATTAGTGTGAAATAGGTACAGATAGGTATCAAGTATGATACTTGTAGAGGTTGATACATTAAGCTGGAAGCAAATGTTACCACAAGATACATGAATAGACCCTGAAATACATGAACTATCCTATAGAACTAAAATGAATGTCATCGTGCTCCACAAAAGCTGTTCACTCAAATGGCTGATAAAATTTCCTTAGGCGCAAATCGAATCCTACTTGAATAGTTGAGGATCAAGGCCCTACACAAAACAAAAAAATTAATTACGATAAAAACAGATAAAAAGGAAGAAATTAATTAAGGATAAAGAGAGCAAGAAAGACACCGCTAGTGAATACCTGCTCATAGAAGCCATTTACTAAAGACTTGTCAACTAAATTTGTTGAGCTGAAAAATAAGCTAAGTTTCACAACAATAGCTAAGTAGAAGCTCACAGAAGTTTCACAACAGAATAAGCTAAGTGAAACTTGCTGACAATAGCCGTTGCAAACTGAAAGAAAACTGAATTTGGAACTAAACTTGCTAACAATTACTGTTACCAAAAACTAATTTTGTTTACCTCAACCTGATTGCAAAACTGAAATTAAAGGAAACTCAAACTGCATATAACAGACCACAGAAACCAACAAAACTTTCGGAAATACTGAATCAAGCACAACTGCAAAATGAAAAAATAGCCAATGCTCATCCCAATCTCATTTTCCCTGTTCAGCCATCCATAATCAACACAACTATGAATACCTGTAGAAGCACAGCCGCACAGCTGGCCAATGTTTGGGATCTGAACGGTCATAAGACAAGCGCAGATCTCACCAAGGGCAAGGAAACAGAGTTTCTCATAGAACCAGCAGCAGCATCCTACCGATGAGTGCGGAACAGGGCTCCTGGAGAACCAGCACCAGCGTCCTTGAATACTGACAATTAGAAAACAACAATACTGAAGTCAGAAACACTGAAGAAATACTCACGGCCAAAACTCGTGCGGAGCCAAACCGGGCCGCCGACAAATTAAATCGGTAGTTGCGCCACCAAAAACACAAGCACTGAGCAAGTCCACAAACAATTCGCCGAAAACGACCAAATCCGCCGCACGACCCAAAACAAAGCCCGCCCCCGGAGCCAAACAAGAATGAACACGAATTGATATGAGCAGCTGTGCCGCACACAAGCACAGAGCGCTGGATTGCTGCTTGCCAACCTGCCGTGGACGCGTCCGCGCGGCCACGAGCCGCAGCGCAGCCAGGAGGCCGGCGCCCTGCTGCTCCGCTGCGGCGTGCCGCCCTTGCCACGCCTACGCCTTGGTCCGCGCCGTGCTGTGCCTCGCTGGTCGCTCCCCAGCTATGACCCAGACCTACCGTGGAAACCGAGGAGCTCCGCTGAGCGAACCAAAAGCAACTCTGCCGCACAACTGTGATGTCCAGGAACTCTGCACGACGACCAGACTGCAAGTCTACAACGCCTCTCAATATTCCCCCCCCCACCCCCCACCCCAAAAAAAAAAAATTCTCTGGATTTCAAAATACGAGATATACGGAATAAAATAAAAAATAATAAAAACAGAAACACGATTGATTAAGAAACAAAACAACAACCGGTAAAACCTGTTTATCAATTTTTCGAGATGTTATCCTATATAGCATCAATAGAATCAAAACACCTTATAATTCGTTCAAAACATCTGGTAGTTTCTAGAGGCCTGGTACATATTCTGGGTATGTGCAAAATAAAGCAACAATACCATATAAAATAGAACCACCAGTAATATAATATCATTTATCTAAGCTACTGAAAGGGAAACATGTGGATGCATGCATACATATTGTTAGAAACGAAACAACATGAATGTAGACTCGAGCTATTCTCTGACAAAGCACAATACATGGGATGCAATGAGTGACTCTAAGACAAGATCCATAAGACTAACAGATAAATGCAACCAAAACCATTTTCGAGCTGGCCATAAATCATTGGAGAATGTGACTTCTACTACAGCGCCCACGGGAGGCCTGAGCAAGAACCCTGCAGATTGTAAGATTGCATAATTTCACACCCACTGCCGCTGGCGTCCCTGCTGCTGCCTACAAAGGCACTATAGAGCATAGTGCCAATCTCCCCAAAGTTTGGGCCTGGGCTGGCTATCGGCCAGTCTTGCTGCAACTGGTGTTCCTCTAGTGGTGCCATGGTTTGCATCTCATTGTAGGTGTAGGGAGAAGCCTGTGTACACGATGAGGATGAAACTGATTGCATCACCTGCAATGGCTCTGGCACGGCTCCCTGCTCAACGACAAGCTCCTGGAGTCGTGCTTTGGCTTTGCTCATCTTCGTCTCCACCATCTCCCTAAGGCTAATCAGCTCATCCTTGGTGGTGCCAACGAGGCCTGGGCGGCATCCATCCAAGCTATCATACAGGAGGACCAAGGTCTCACGCTCATGATTCTCATGGTCCAACTTGCTCACCTGCTCATGGAGTCTTACCGTGCGACTGTGGAGGAATTCCTCTTGATTCTGTATCTTCTTGAAGCTGCCAACATCTGTCATGTCCTTGAATTTCTTGAGGAGTTTCTTGGCCTCTGCATCAGAGGGCCACACCTCTGGTGTGGCCAGGCCATCACCATATACCACTATGCAGATCTTGATGCCACAGAGTGTGACGAGCTCACCAGCCTTTTTTGTCAAGGCCTGGTAGCGTCTCTTGTACTTGCACGCCGAGTAGCGTTGTTGGAGATCCACCGGAGATTCACCTTTTTGCGTGCCATAGCTCCTACCTAACTTGCTACTACTAAAATCAGCAAACAAAGTGGAAATGGTTGCTCTGGTGTTGATATGAAATGAGGGGAGGGGTGGTGTTTGTATATATAGATCAAGGAGGAGCTTAGAACAACTTATAGCAGTGCTTAGTCATACCACCATAATATGGTTAGCATTTACTCACTATAGTAATGTGGTGTATATAACTAAACATATTCTGCTTCATAAATACATAGATCACAAGAAAAATATTTCATGCATACATCGTGAGCATTGTGTGATAGGCTAGGTGATGATAAATTTCCTAATCATACCATTATATTTTAGCTAGCATTAACTATTGCATAAATATAGAAATGATTTATTTTATTGATTATAGTGGTGATAAATTTCCTAATCACACCATTATATTTTAGCTAGAATTAGCTGTTACATAAATATATCTATTATTCCTGAATAGATAACTTAGCACATTTTTACTCAATAAATGCATCAATCACAAGGAACACATTCCATGCATACATCGTGAGCATTGTGTGATAGGCTAGGTGATGATAAATTTCCTAATCATACCATTATATTTTAGCTAGCATTAACTATTGCATAAATATAGAAATTATTTATTTTATTGATTATAGTGGTGATAAATTTCCTAATCACACCATTATATTTTAGCTAGCATTAGCTGTTACATAAATATATCTATTATTCCTGAATAGATAACTTAGCACATTTTTACTCAATAAATGCATCAATCACAAGGAACACATTCCATGCATACATCATGAGAATTGTGTGATGGGGTATATGGTGGTCAAATATTGGTTAATTACTACTAAAGAACCACAAGAAATAAATAACATAATAGAATATAATCATGACATTGTACAAGGCTCACTCCTTGGAGGAGGATGCCTGACTTCAAAACAATTATAGGATGGTACGGTATGGGATGTATCAATTCGATCAAAGGACTGGATCGTTATTTCAAAGCTCTACAGTTCATGTGTGTTTCAAGCCGTAGGAAGAAAGTAGTTCAAGATATATTGTTTTAATTTGTTGGTAGTGAGTGTTTGTTGTATAGCTGCCCCCATTTGTTTTCCATGGTTAGAAACATATGATGTCAGCGTAACAAGCATATAAATTTAGACTAATAGATTACCCAATTGACTAATTGTACACAGTTTATTATGGTTGTAGTGATTGTATAACAACCCAAAAATCCTTCCTTGTTAAAACTTTTTGATAAATAACTTGTTGACCTTAAACTTGCTATCACTTCAGTCTAGCCTACCTCGCTAAATAAGTTCTATATGATGAAAAAATTAGTGACAAATTGATTTACTATGAGTTTCCTACCTTGCTAAATAAGGTTCGTATCTGCATAAATTAGTGGCAAAAAATTATTGTCACAAGTTCTATGAGGAAAAAATTCAGAACATAATAGAACATGGTTAAAGACAAAAGATAGGTGATGAAGCGATTTTTGTAACCGATGCATCATGAATCATGTATCATGACAGATATTATATGATCTATTGGAAATACGTAGTCATAGAATGTCAAATTTGTTGTAGTCTAACTCTTTCATCGAGAGTCCAATTGAGGTGTATGAGTATCACACGATAAAAAGATTATTCAATATTCTTTCAAACAAGGGTAGATGCACCCATCGGCAAGCTGGGGTGGCCACACCAAGTAAGTGAGGTTTCGAGAACACCCTTCATCTCCATGGTCGGTGAAGTAGTTGCGCAAGCGCAGATCACAACTGGAGAGAGGCGGGCTAGGTGGTGACTTTGGAGGTTTGGGAATATGGAAGAAATGACATTGCATCTTGTTGTTTGTGTGGCATATTGAATAGGGCCACAACCAAATGGTAAAAAGGCCCATCACTCCAAGCCCCTCAGGCCAAAGCCCACACGCATAGGCCAAGCCACCACTACAAGAATTTTGTTGATCCATGATAGTTTTTTTGTGACTTTTTTTGTCACAGATTACTAGAACCAGACATGGGTTCTCTTGAAGCCCAAGATTCTATGGCGAAGTTTATGGATCGTCACTATTTTACAAACGAACCAAATCTGTGACAGTTTAATTTCGTCATGATGTGTCATTGCCACATTTGATGCCATCGTGGCATGCTGACATGCATATTATGCCAATGTGGCCTGCTGACGTGGCCATGAGCTATCTGTTTGTTAAATCGGTGGTCCGAAAAATAGTGCGGCGTTGAGAATTGAACCCGCAACTGGTGCCGCACACATAACCACTGCAATACTTCGTTCATATGTGTTGGAAACTAGAATAGTTTCCTTTTATTTTAATATCGTTGACTTCAGCAATCTAATGCCTGAATCCCTAATCCTTGAATCCCTCTGACAGCAAACCATGCCACGCCGCTCCGACAGCAAACCATGCCGTGTCGCTCCGACAGAAGACAATGCCACGCCGAGGAGCGGTCGTCCACAGCCTAGCGACGACGAATCACGCCACGACGAGGAGCGGTCGTCCCCAGCCCAGCGACGGTGAATAGCACCGCTCCGACAAGCGGCCGCCCCAATCCACCGACGACGGTGAGTCCCGCGGCAGGCCACTGCCAGAGGAAGGTAGCTGGATTTATGGAGTAGGCTGCAGCTGCAGCAATCAATCTCCACCGTCCCTTCCCGCCGCTTGCTGCCTTGCTGCAAGGTGCCTTCCCGCCGCCGGCAACCTTCCTCCATACTTGCCATGTGTATGCCATCTATTCTAGGATTTTGTTATACCGCAGCATATGAATTGTGTGCAGGCTTATTAAATTGTGTGTTTCTGCAATTCATGTTCAAATGGATAGAAGTTGGGTGCACATCACAGTATTTTCTACTGAATATGTCAATGGTGTCAAAGAATTCATGGAATTCATTAAAGTAAAATTTGGTGAGAATGATGAGATTCTCTGCCTATGTACTAGATGCCTTAATCAGAAGTACCTGCATCAGCCCAATGTAAAGAAGCACATATTGTTGAATAGCATGGATTGTACATATACTCGGTGGGTACATCATGGAGAGGACATTAGTGTACATGTTAATGTAGTTCCTACTCCTACTCCTGTTTTTGACACTGAGGAGGGTTCCATACATGGGATGGATGTGGCTGAGGATGACAACAACGATGTTGTTCGGTGAGATAGTGAGCCACTAGGGGCTGACAAGGGCAAAAAAATTGTATAAAATGGCAAAAAAATTGTCCCACTAGGGGCTCGAAATGGAGACCTCAGGCTCCACAGGCTCGTTACTTAACCAATGCGTTAGATTTCGTGAGTTCGATAGGGAGACCCAAAAATTCTTTTTGAAGGATAAGTGCACAGAAACCGATCCTTTCCTTATCTTAATAGCGCTTCAATCATCTGCCACTTGTCTTCCTCCCTCTCTCATATTCTCACTGTGTGAAATCAAAACCCTAGCAAAGGTGAAGCTAGTTGATGGTGGCCAGATCCAGCACTGCGACTCGCTTCTGACTCCCCTTCTCTTCTGAGGTTGGATCGACAACTGGATGATAAGAAGATTCCGCATGGTGCAGCCATGCCTATGGCCTAATGCACTAGAGTTTTTGGTAGGTGGCCCAATGCTAGTGATAGGGAGAGGCAACCCAACAACTAGTAGGAAGAGGCAAGAGCAACAGCTACTTGCTACATGCTTAACACTATACTAGTGGTATGTCTATTCTTGTTATATTCATCAATTCTCAAGCTATATGATAACTTCACTATAGCCTATTAATTGATCTTTAGAAATGTTGACACCAATAGTGGCAAACAAATAAAACCGCAAGCACACAGCTATTAATGTAGTTTTCACCCTGGACTATTACAAGGTATTAATTTCCACGGGAACGTAAAGTTAACTAACAAAGAGTCAAGTTCATCCTAGAATGATTCAAGGGTATATGATAGGTTGGGTAGACATGATTTCTATGGTTATGATAACTAGAATAGATTAGGTATACAAAAGATTGTTCATGCCGGGACGACTACATGAAGCTTAGTAGTGGAAAGGGGTGAGGATGGCACCTAACCTCCTAGTAGTGGTGGACCTATGATTTTAAAAACTTGCTCGGACATGGTGGAATATAGAGATCAGATAAGGTTGTCGCCACCTATTGACTACCATAAACAATCCATGGGGTAAGCCGCAGACATATAGCCTAGACACCATGTCTACACTATAACTTACCACTCTAACCTTGCGCAACTAAGTTCCCTTAGCTAGGCTAGACAACTCAAAAAACAAGGAGTGATGAACCAATGAACAACTTAAGTACAAAGTTACCAGAACTAGAGATCAATTATCGTAGAGATCCCAGATGCTTACTTAGAGACAAGCCCACATCTGCAAAGGTATAGCTTGGAGAAGGTGCCAACAAGCCGAGTACTGCTCCACACTCCAATCTTTCTCTCTCTTTTTTCTATACTACAACTGATGTAGGGCTTTGCCTAAGTGTAGAATGTGCAGCTTCGCCTTGATGTCTTTAGAGTGAGGGGGTACCTCCCTTGGATCAAACCGACCTTGAATGGATGGTGGGGATGTGGGGAAGTTTGCTTCTTTGCATGGACGTGTAGTGTGAGATAGTGGGTGTAACAAGGAGGTCAGCCAACCCCCCTATTATGTGGGGAAGTTTGCCTCTCATGTTGGGGTTTTTGGTGATGTGGAGATATTGTCATTTTGAGTTTTTCACTATGGAGGGTCCATCTCAATCCTTGTGCATTGAATATCTCCTCTACAAAGAAAGCACAGGCTCCATCCAAGGCCTAGAAATGATCTAGGGTGTGTTTTCTAGCTTCTCACTAGAGGTGGACCCCTGTGGCCACATGGGGGGTTGGCTGACCCCCTATGTGGGCTGACCAGCCTCTGTTTTCTCCCATATTTCCCATACGATTAAATAGAGTGCATGTACATATGGGACCAAGTTATTTGTATAAAATATGTTCATAATTTGCTTGGATCCTATCATTTGGGAGACCTTGTTGATG